CTGTACGGAATGAAAAGGTAACCCATGCACTGATTGAAGCTGGTGCTGATGTCAACATAACTGACAAGGATGGCAAAACAGTCCTTTTGCATGTTTTTGGTGAAGAGATTTTAAACAAATTTATTCAGACCAACGCAACAGTACATTTCATACATCTAATCAAGTTGCTCTTGGTAAATGGAGCAAGCTTATGTGACACAACAATGGAAGAAGATTCTGTTTTCCATTTTATTCTGAAACTTTACCAACAAACTCTTTCAACTGCAGATAAAAATCCCAAACAATCTATATTGCTTGAACTGGTGGAAATTTTGAAACTGTTTTCCCAATCAAGAAAGAGTGAGGTGGCTGTGAATAAAAGAGACAGCCAATTAAATTCACCACTCCATCATTGGGCATCACTTGAATTGGTACTGTCCAACAGGTATCAGGAAAATGTGTGTGATGGCTACAGTTTTGAAAACCTATTAAAAGAGATCCTTGATTTGCTTCTCGAGTGTGGAGTGATACTGGATGATATCAATGAAAACAAACAGACACCTCTACACATGTGCAGTACGTGGACAGCTGTCAAACTCTTGTTAGATGCTGGAGCAGAGCCAGATGTAAAAGATTCATCAGGGTGCTCGCCTCTTCTTGCCGCTGCAAAGAGGAACCCTTGCCTCAAAAATGGTTCAGAACATTTCTATCCTGATGTTGATCAAATCCGGGCCAAGGAGTTCTGGCAAGAAGTGCTTAACAAAAGACTTGATCCATGGACTGCTGATGATAATGGAGATTCAATTCTGAGCATTCTGATCCAAAAAGAAGCTAACTGCCTTGCTGAAGCCCTGATCGAAGTCGCTTGTGAGCTGAAGTTTGTACACTCGGATACAATTGGAGTAGCTCTTCTCATTACTGTTTGCAGAGACAAGTCCATGGAGAAAGTAGGGAAAGTTAAACTCGTTAAGACATTGTTAAGATATCGAATTAGTCTTGCACAAGAAAGCTTGAGCACCAAAGACACTGCTTTGCATTTTAGTTTCAGGAACATGATCAAATTATCTGAAGAAAGTGTTAAGACGTCTGTGCATTGGACAATTGCTCAGCATCTAATTTTGTGCGGAGCTGATGTTGAATTCGCTGATAAGGAGGGCAAATCCTGTTTGGACATAGCAAAAAGCTGTCCAGTTCTCAAAGACCTTTTGTCAATGCCTGTCAAGATCGAAGAAGTGCCTCCTCTGATTGACTTATGGAAGGCAGTTTCAGAGAAGCATCAAGGCCAATTAGTAAAGGTTTCAAGAGGCTTTAAGTGTCAGCAAACGGAGACAGTTTATTATTTCAAGGAATCCTTAGACAGTGGCACGTTTGGTCTAGTATTTGTGGGAATCAACGCACACGATGGAAAAGAAGTTGCTGTTAAGCGTGTTGAAACATTGAGGGTAGATAAGGAAAACATCACAAAAGAGATTGAAGATCTTAAAACGCTGAGCTGCAATAAAGTTATTCAGTGCTTGTTATGTACCAACGATAAAGATTTTTTGTATGTGATCTTGGAGCTGATGGAAGGGAATCTTGATGATCTACTCTCTGAGGAGTACAATTTTGGCATCACCAATCAACAAACAGAGTTTTGTAGAGATATTTGCACAGGACTAGACTATTTGCACAACCATGGCATCATACACAGGTGTATAAAACCAAGTAACATTCTCTACCAAGTGCTTGATTCAGGAATAAACCTGAAGCTTGCTTTCTTTGGTTTAAGAAGCCAGATGTGTAAGGAGCAGCATAACTTTACTTTTATGGATACATATGAATATCTAACTAAGGTGAGATGCTGGATGGCACCAGAAGTGTTGCAGTCACAGAGTCATTCGAAGTCTTCTGATGTTTTCTCATGTGGACTTGTGATCCATTATCTGCTTAGCAACAAAAAGCATCCTTTCGCCCCTGGTGGGTCCAGCAAAGAAAGCCCACTAGCAGTAAGTATTGAAACCGTTGATAACATTGCCCAATATAAGATAGGACTTGAAGGAACAATCTCTTCTGATGCAATTAACCTTCTCCAAGGAATGCTTGATCATGACACAACCAAACGTATCAGTATTTCATATGCATTGGAACATCGGTTCTTCCAGTCAAAGTCAGGAAATGTTTATCAGTAAATTCTAAATCTAAATTTTTAATCGGTAAAGGTTTGCCATCACTACAGATATATTACTACACACGTAAATAAATTCATAGATAAATTAAAGAGGGGGGGGGG